GTCTGGATCCATCCAGACCAGCCTGCACATCAGGATCCATGCTGTTCACTATCAGTTTCTCTACTTGTAATAGGGTTGGTAAGGGAACAACATGGATCCTGATCAGACTGCACGAATGCGCAGGCTGGTCTGGATCCATGCAGGTCGCAAACCCATTATGTTGGTTTTGTCATGGCGCGGCTCATATATATCTGTATATATCTGTTAACATTATCTTGATTCATATGATCATTTTGATTGTGTGTATCAACATGCTGTTTACAAAGAGCCATTTTCCCTATTATGTAATGTCAATGTTTAGATGGTCACATTCAAGTCTTTCAACTTGAAACTTAACCTATACACTGATAACTTAATGTTGAAGCCTTTTTTGTGCTTCAAATTTGCAGCTATTAATATCAATTTATCACATACTTGCGCCAAATTTGCTACTCCATAAAAATGGTATTGCACAATCGTGCAAATATTTTGATGTGATGTCATTTGCATTATACAAACATAGGTAAAGCTAGATGTTAGCATAACACTGTAGGCAAGTCAGTGAAAAATGATTCTTTTGCTCTCTAAATAATCTTTATTTTGGGTATGTGATAAATAGAATAATATATTTGTGCAGGTTCATCAATGAATATATTGAACTTGTTGAATAAAATAACATTATGCTCGCAAGATGCTTGCATAATATAATTTTATTCCACTCTTTCAATAAATTCAGAATTGAACCTACACACATTCAATATCCTCTATATATCAACATCCACAAATTATGTAGCCATCAGAACAGAGTTAAGTTAGATTGCACAGATATTTTGTTTACATTATAAAGGTTATATGGAGACTTTCCAGCTTTACTGTAGGAGGAAGACCACAGCCGACCCTTCATGCATTATTTCAGGCACAAACCGTCAACTGACTAGAACAATTGACTTTCAGTAAGCTTGCTGAACAGCTTCATCACATTAAAGATTCCCAGGTCCCTGATGGGATTAAACCCCATAGCAGTAAGTATTGGGCATGTGATTTGAAACTGGTGACCTTAACCATCCAGCCACACATGCCAAGGATAGCAGAAGCTAGTTCCTCTTCTTGTGCCTAGTGCAAATGCACAAGCTGGTCTCTTAATTTACAAGTATAATAGAATTACTGAGCACTTTTAATTGGTAACTTACACAAGGTAGAAATAACATGTTAACTGAGGTAGCTTGCCATTCCTGATTTACTGCAAATATAAACTGTAACTAAAACATTACTTTTCCCCACTGATTGTCACACACTGTAATTATATCAAAGCTTATACAAATGTATATAAAATCTTTCTGCAATGATTCCAATGAACATCTGATTTACATGAATATGAAAATATCACATTTCATTTGATGGAAGAATCATAGTCAAAACTTGTATTTCAATGAAAATGCCTATAACTGTCTCAACATCATGTCCCTACAAACAAACAAACCTTTACTATAAAGCAATCTTAAAGTTTTTCTGTATACCATATCTCAGTAACAGATCATTTTACTTTAACAAAACTATAAAATAAACAAATTACAATGATTTTTCAATATACTATAAATAAAAAAATTTGTTTCAGTATTAATAACAAAATTCTCCAATTAACAAAATAACTGTATAACCAGATGGCAATTAAAGGCAAGGAATGACATTTATAACATAGCAAGCTTGTAGAAACAGACTATACTTTAAAGTAGATGTATAAATGAGAACAAAAGATTTTCTGGCTATTCTTTACATCAATACAATAAAACTACAATGGCCAATCAAGAACTGATCATCATCCAGGATTTCTGTGACAGTTAATCATATATCATATCATTATATAACAATCTATTTTTCTATAGATATCTAACAAACATTTTTTACTCCGCAAAATAAAATTTTTAATAAAATAAAACTACTTGCAATATAATTAAATTTTGAACACTTTCTGAACACTAAAATTGCACACTGAAGTGCAAACTAACTATACAATTCGGTGATATATATAGCTACATTTCTTGTCTGCAAATGAACGCATCAACATTAAACAAACAAAATAAAAACATGCTTTAACATTACAAAACAAATATCTTAAAAATAATCCATTAAGAAAAGTATATAAAGAGTTTAAATAGTGTATAAACATTCTTTGTAAACAGTCCTACTCCATGTGTTATCTAGCATGTTTCAGTAAGGTCTGATTTTACTCATGAAGTTAGGGCTACTTTTACATAAATGGACTCGTTGCATATAATTTTTGGCAATACTATGTGGCTGGGACATTATTTGGTCACTTTAACAGGCTAATTGTTTTAGTAGTTTGAACACTTTAAGGTTTCATAAAAATCAGCATAAATGTGTTGAAGGCAAGATGACAGGAAATTTATTTTTTCCAACTTTATGTCTCAACATTTATATAAAACTTATTACAAACAACAATATTCAAATGTCTTCCGGGAATGACAGTTTAACATCTTTAAAGATGAACTGTTTCATAATATTATCAAAAATGCATTTTGCTAAAGTTTATTCCCTAATATTTAAAAAGATCTTCATCATTTTTGTGTAGAACTGTTGAAATCAAAATTAAATGAGCTGTGTCACGACAAAACCAACGTAATGGGTTTGCGACCAGCATGGATCCAGACCAGCCTGCGCATCCGCGCAGTCTGATCAGGATCCATGCTGTTCGCTATCAGTTTCGGTACTTGTACGAGGGTTTATAAGTGAACAGCATGGATCCTGATCAGACTGCGCGGATGCGCAGGCTGGTCTGGATCCATGTTGGTCGCAAACCCATTACGTTGGGTTTTGTAATGACATGGCTCAAATAAAGCAGTCCAAGAGAAATAATAAAACTATATCAATAATGCTCATACTTTCGTTGAAAGAAATTTAATTACAAAATGACTGAAAGCTCATTAAAAATGTATAAAAGCATTTCAAGATAACATAAAAAATAAAGTAATTTGTACTACCTTTGTAGGCACTTAAAAAAAGACAATATTGTATAAATCCTTGTTTACAAATGAAAGTTGTTAAAACAATTAACAATTCTTAAAAGTATCTAAAAAAAAACCTAAATTGGGAAAGCATTTAGAGGTTATCATGTAAACAAGAGGGCCATGATGGCCCTAGATCGCTCACCTGAATTATCAAACTCATCCAAACAATTACCTAGACAAGCATTCTGACCAAGTCTCATGACAGGTGAGTCAAAAATGTGACCACTACAGTGTTAACAAGGATTATCCATATTTGAGCAGTGCGACCTAGTTTTTTACCCAGGTGACACATATTCAAACTTGACCTAGAAATCATCAAAACAAACTTTTCAGACCAATTTCCAGGATACTTGGATCAAAACAGTAGCAACTAGAGTGTTAACAAGAATTTTTCTATTTTTAGCTCTGGTGACCTAGTTTCACATTGCGATTTCGAACTCATCCAAGCAATTACCTAGAACAAGCATTCTGACCAAGTTTGATGATAATGGAGTCGAAAATGTGACCACTAGAATGTTAACAAGGTTTTTCCATATTTGGGCGGTGTGACCTAGTTTTTTTCATCAGCAAGATGACCCATGTTCGATCTTGACTTAGAAATCATCAAAAACAAACTTTCAGACCAATTAACAGAATATTTGGATCACAACAGTAGCCACTAGAGTCGGTTAACAAGATTTTTCTATTTTTAGCTCCTGTGACCTAGTTTTTCCGAGATGTCCCATGTTCGATTTATTCCCAGCAATGACCTAGACAAGTTTCCTTACCAAAGTTTGATGACAATTGAGTCAAAATTGTGACCACTAGAGTTTTAAACAAGGTTTTTTCTATTTTTAAGCCTCCTGTGACCTAAGTTTTTCAATCCGAGATGACCCATGTTCGAACTCATCCGAGTTATTTGACCTAGACAAGCATCTTCATCAAGTTTGATGATGATTGATGCAAAAATGTGACCGCTAAAGTGTTAACAAGGTTTTTCTATTTTTAGCTCCGGTGACCTACTTTTTCATCCGAGATGACCCATGTTCGAACTCATCCAAGCTATCAACTAGATAAGCATCCTGACCAAGTTTGATGATGATTGATGCAAAAATGTGACCGCTAGAGTGTTAACAAGGTTTTTCTATTTATAGCTCCGGTGACCTAGTTTTTCATCCGAGATGACCCATATTCGAACTCATCTGAGCTATTATCTAAACAAGCATCCTGACAAAGTTTGATGATGATTGGGTCAAAAATGTGACCACTAGAGTGGTCACAAGGTTTTTCTATTTTTAGCTCCTGTGACCTAGTTTTTCATCAGAGATGACCCATGTTCGAACTCATCCAAGCAATTGACTAGACAAGCATTCTGACCAAGTTTGATGATGATTGGTTCAAAAATGTGACCACTAGAGTGTTCACAAGGTTTTTCTATTTATAGCTCCTGTGACCTACTTTTTCATCCGAGATGACCCATGTTCGAACTCATCCGAGCTATCACCTAGACAAACATCCTGACCAAGTTTGATGAAGATTGGGTCAAAAATGTGACCTCTAGAGTGTTCACAAGGTTTTTCTATTTTTAGCTCTTGTGACCTAGTTTTTCATCTGAGATGACCCATATTCGAACTTATCCGAGCTTTCAACTAGATAAGCATCCTGACCAAGTTTGATGATGATTGAGGCAAAAATGCGACCGCTAGAGTGTTCACAAGCAATTGTGGACGGCCGGACGGACGACGGACATTCATCGATCCTAAAAAGCTCACCCTGAGCAAGCTCAGGTGAGCTAAAAAAAAAAACAATTGATAAAAACCGGAACTTTTCAAAGTGAATCATTTGAGTGCATTTTTATAATGTTGTTTATCACTGGAAAATGATTTTAAAGATCCTGTATGTTGTAATTAAGGATGTAAGAGCAATTCTAAGTTATAGTCGAAGCAAAGAAGCTTCCACAAATTCAAGGCCAATACAAAAATTGTTCATAGGCATGATCAATTACTTGACAAACTTTGAGACACAACGCCTCCTCTTACTTTATTGAAAAAATATGTTGAATTAAACACAGAAGCATAACATGAAAAAAGCCTTTTAAACTGTCAAACACATAAATTAAGCAACAGTGTAAGGTTTATATAATGAGACTATATACTACTTATTGAAGAGTGACAGATCCAAATATGGCATAGAAGCATGCCATGTGCAAAATGACTGGCCATTTGCAAATAAATCCTGTAAAAAGTTTATCTCAAGCATTAAACATGTAGTCATAGAACACACCTGTGTCTCAGTCTTTTCTTATTGGTTAAACAAAATGTAATTGAGGCAGTACAGATATCAGGTGATTGCAGAAGCTTACCTTGTGAGCTACTATAGTAAATATCAGTACAAGGCAAAGAATGACCATGATTGTGAAAGAGAATCATTATATAACATCATTATACTTATATCACATCAAAAGTGCCCACATATATATAAATATACATGTACATGTGTATATATAAGCAAAGCTAAAACTTTCTGTTACGACTGGTTATGAGAATGGTTATGAGTAGGTATATCTAGTTTAACACTTCGTACAGATGATGACGATATACTGTTCTTTATTTTACCATTCTCTTGAAGTGTCTTCAGATCTTCTGCTGTTGAAAAACTCATAATTTTTCTCATATCTACAGAATGCTTCTTCCTGTTTTCTCTGTACTTGGCAAAAATATATGTCAGTCCTCCTGTAACACTCATAGAAATACCGAGCATTGTCGAGATATTGTTACTCACTCCACCAAACGTAAAGATCCCCAGTAATGTCTGTGCCAAAGCTTTAAGACCCCCAACAACACTTGTAGTAAGGGCAGATGTCAAACTTGTACATAAAAACAATGAATAATTCAACAAACATCCTAAACTTATAGCCAGGAAAAATACAACAATGAAAGACCAATGGTAATAATATGGAAAATCTAATATATGATAGATTTCTTGATTCAGAACACAAAAGATGGCAAGCAATGGCAGCGTGTTGATGCTGTTGAGTTGAAGAGATTCTACAGTTGATAGTTTACCATTTGTGACCTGCTGGACTAGTAGCAGGTACACAGACTGTGCAATGTTGCTCAGGATGCCACAACTGTATCCTAATAAGTTAAAAGTTAGATCCCCATAACCTGAAATAGAATTAATTATAAACTCGAGCATGATTTAAATAATCATACAAAACATGAACGCGTTTCATAAACACAAATGTTCCCGGCCCAGATTCTTGTCAGTAACAATTTCTCAAAAAAAAGGTTTACCTATTCACTCAGTTATGTACAGAAAAATGCTCCCCCCACCAAAGTGTCATGTTGTTTTGTTATCGTGAAAAATATAATTTTCCATGCCATTGCTATTTGATGAAGTTGATATTCAACATACCAATAAAAATATATCAAATTTATATAAATGCAAGACCCAGTGACCCCAAAGTCCACCCAAACCTTTAGCACCACCTGTGGTATGTTTCTTCTAGCTGAAGCAATATAAGACTGTAAAAGTGTAAAAAATCTATTGTTAGCACCGGTCACCTTGTGACTCCCAACACTGGACCACCCAAGGTATGATCATTCAAAATATTCTAAACCCGAAGAACGGGGATCTCCCTATGCATGTCTGTATTAAACAGAAAGACATTAACTTAAAATAAAGACTGTATCAGTAAATATGTATAAATTCATTTTTTACACCAGAGACATTGACCATGACTCCAGTTATATAATTTGTAAATATAATATACTTTGTATTGATAAGAAAGTAAGTGCGTAAATTATGAAGCCATAGGTACAGGCAGAACTTAAAGACAAATTCAACATGCAGGTTTATGTTAACCTCATAGTATTACACTGACGGGCGAATGGTTCAATTACTATATGCCTTGTAGCTTAAAAAATAACCGAGTGTGTCAATTTAAAGTAAATATCTGTCTTTTGTGCCATTTTTATTGCCTGTTCATTCAAACAGAGATAAAGATTTTACCGGTTACTTCTCCAAAGGATCCCCTTTACATAATTTTCAATGACCTAACATACTTCAATATATATATGTAAGCACATATTGTTAAAGTTTTCATATAACAGTATACAATAAATTACTTTGTTTCATGTCTGTTTGTTGTTGGCTTTGTTTTCTGTACAGTATTCATGTATGTATTGCCTCAAAAAGAAATAAATCTGCTTACCTGCAACTATGCATCCAAGGGTGAGAAATGCTACAGAACCTATGGTGAGCTTTGATGGCCATCCCTTTTTCAAGATAACAACAGACAGTACCATTGTTACAAGAGGAACACAGCGTTTCAACACTCCATACAGAGCAATATTCATATGGCTTAATGCATTTAGAGCTAACACTGAATTTATTCCATAAAACAATGCTGGTAAAGCAAACATCTTCCCACGTTCTAGTGTATATTTAGGCATATTTAAAATTGCTATACAGGGAAGACTTAATATCTCTAAGACAATGATTGTAAACAGCATCTGAGACATCATTATGAACACAGGGAAGTCAAACTGGTATGTGGTCATGAGGAGTTTGTTGATAAATGCAATTAAAACAGAACATGTTCCATACAGTACAGCTGCAAACACAGATGGTATATTATGAGTAAAGTCTGATAAGCGATGATGGCTGGTTCCCTGCATATCCATGTTCTGAATCCTAGTTTGATCTCTAGCTCTGTCAACCTTTCTTAAAAATGCAACCAATGGATCTGGAAAGAAAAAAAGCTTGTAATTTCATTATTTAAAATAGTTAATGTGCCAAATTGATGATATTAATGAAAAAAGAAAGTGGAAAAAACAGTTTTTTTTAACTTGACAACACCTCTTTATTATATTATTTTACTAATCTTGAAATAATTAAAAATAGCAATCAATAAATTTGATAAGTCTCAGTTTCAAACAAGAAAATTTAACAACAGGGCTAATGCTGACCTCAAAGAGTCAAAACCTTTTACAAATTATTACTAGGTAATGTTGGCATGCCACTTTCCAAATAACTACTCTTTAAGATTTTTTGGAGAAAATTTTAAGTCTTTTTAAATCTCTATTTAAAACCTAAGAAATATAATCATTGACATGGTTGTTCAACAAACAAAATGATGACAAAATGATGTAGTGGTGTCAATTGTAATGTTTATAACAGACCTAAAATATGATGGTTTATTAATAGCTTTATTAACATTCATACATATACGCGCACAACCAACATCCAACCAATTACTGATATCAAACATTATTTTAACCAACATCTGACCAATTACTGATATACACGCACAACCAACATCCAACCAATTACTTATATATGCACACAACCAACATCCCACCAATTACTGATATATGCACACAACCAACATCTGACCAATTACTGATATCACACACAACCAACATCTGACCAATAACTGATATATGCACACAACCAACATCTGACCAATTACTGATATACGCACACAACAAACCATCTGACCAATTAACTGATATCACACTGACAACCAACATCTGACCAATTACTGATATAAGCACACAACCAACATCCAACCAATTACTGATATAAGCACACAACCAACATCCAACCAATTACTGATATACGCACACAAACAACACATAACCATTTACTAATATACGCACACAACCAACATCTGACCAATTACTGATATCACACAAATCCAACATCCAACCAATTACTGATATATGCACACAACCAACATCCAACCAATTACTGATATACGCACACAACCAACATCTGACCATTTACTGATATACACACACAACCAACATCCAACCAATTACTTATCTACGCACATAACCAACATCCCACCAATTACTGATAAATGCACACAACCAACATCTGGCCAATTACTGATATATGCACACAACCAACATCTGACTTATTTCTGATATCACACAAAACCAACATCCAACCAATTACTGATATATGCACACAACCAACATCCAACCAATTACTTATATACGCACACAACCAACATCCCACCAATTACTGATATATGCACACAACCAACATCTGACCAATTATTGATATCACACACAACAAACATCTGACCAATTACTGATATAGCACACAACCAACAATCTGACCAATTATTGATATATGCACACAACCAACATCTGACCAATTACTGATATACACACACAAACAACACATAACCAATTACTGATATACGCACACAACCAACATCTGACCAATTACTGATATATGCACACAACCAACATCCAACCAATTACTTATTTACGCACACAACCAACATCCCACCAATAACTGATATATGCACACAACCAACATCCCACCAATTATTGATTTCACACACAACCAATGTCTGACCAATTACTGATATACGCACACAACCAACATCTGACAAATTACTGATATATGCACACAATCAACATCCCACCAATTACTGATAAATGCACACAACCAACATCTGACCAATTATTGATATGCACACAACCAACATCTGGCCAATTACTGATATATGCACACAACCAACATCTGACCAATTACTGATATACACACACACACAAACAACACATAACCAATTACTGATATATGGACACAACCAACATCCCACCAATTACTGATAAATGCAACCAACCAACATCTGACCAATTATTGATATGCACACAACCAACATCTGGCCAATTACTGATATATGCACACAACCAACATCTGACCAATAACTGATATATGCACAAAACCAACATATGACTTATTTCTGATATCACACAAAACCAACATCCAACCAATTACTGATATACGCACACAACCAACATCCAACCAATTACTTATATACGCACACATCCAACATCCCACCAATTACTGATATATGCACACAACCAACATCTGACCAATTATTGGTATCACACACAACCAACATCTGACCAATTACTGATATATGCACACAACCAACATCTGACCAATTATTGATATCACACACAACCAACATCTGACCAATTACTGATATACGCACACAACCAACATCTGACCAATTACTGATATATGCAAACAACCAACATCTGACCAATAACTGATATCACACTGAACCAACATCTAACCAATTACTGATATAAGCACACAACCAACATCCAACCAATTACTGATATACACGCAAACAACGCATAACCAATTACTGGTATATGCACACAACCAACAACTGATATCACACAAAACCAACATCCAACCAATTACTGATATAAGCACACAACCAACATCCAACCAATTACTGATATACACACGCAAACAACGCATAACCAATTACTGGTATATGCACACAACCAACAACTGATATCACACAAAACCAACATCCAACCAATTACTGATATAAGCACACAACCAACATCCAACCAATTACTGATATACACACGCAAACAACACATAACCAATTACTGATATACACACACAACCAACATCTGACCAATCACTGATATATGCACACAACCAACATCCAACCAATTACTTATTTATGCACACAACCAACATCCCACCAATAACTGATATATGCACACAACCAACACCCCACCAATTATTGATTTCACACACAACCAATGTCTGACCAATTACTGATATACGCACACAACCAACATCTGACCAATTACTGATATATGCACACAACCAACATCTGACCAATTACTGATATACGCACACAACCAACATCTGACCAATTACTTAAGTGAAAATTTATAGGCACACAATTAAAGCAAGTTAAAACAGCAATTGTGATTGATAGTCCAAATATTTAAAACTAAACGGCTGATTGGAAGCTATTTTTACATTGGTCGAATCTGCTTTTCCGATAAACATAAAACTGTAAAAAAGAAAATGCGTTGTCTTTCATATTGAAGGACTATTGTGACAGTGTGCCATACATGTACTGATTGGGGACCACCAAAACCGGACAACCACCAAACCCGGACGGCCCCGAAAGTGCTTAATTTAGTATTTTCTTTGTTCAGTGGTTGTCAGTCAATTTTTTATCAACAATAAGTGCATGTTTCTTTTAAAATTGAGTAAATGAATTTATTTGAACCTCCGTAAATGGTAATATTTAAATGTCTATTTCAAGAATGTTAACTTTGAAATTCGGGGGTCAAGAAAGCAATGCCTGACCTCATATACCGGCTATAATCATTTGCAGAGTGAATAATAGAATATCCAAAACTTCAGCATTTGTTGCTGACATATTGCATATCATGTTACAAATCAAAAATCAAAACATCCAGGCTTTTATCTGAATTAAATCACATCATGTACATATCTGTCGGGACACATGGTACTGTAGTGTAGACAATTTAGGTAATTTTGATACCCTCCTTGTTGAGCCTCAGATATAAGTGTCAATACAATCAGAAATAAACAAACTAGTTTATTAGTTAGGAGAAGAACCTAGCTGAACTGTGTCAAATTATTTGGTCTCTAGGTTAAAAATTATGAAATCTGTACGGAAAAATGTTCCAAAAGTGTCCGGTTGATGGTCTCCGACCAGTATGGCTTTGGTGAATGAGCCATCTGGCTGCTTCCATATTTTCTACACTAAATAATGAACAGTTCTGAGCTATGACAGTAATATAAAGTTTAAATACATGTAAAGTTCTGATATCAATAAAAAATATCGAAGTACGAATATGCACGAAGGAGCCATGTACGAATGTATAAGAGTGCGAATAAAATATATCTGTGACAAAAATAACTGAAAGAAATTTAACGGTAATTTTATATCTTAAACAAAATAACTATCAACTTTTAGAAATGCAACATCAAAACTTCTCGATCAATAATTCAGTACTATGACTATTTTATCGTTTTATATTTACCTGTTCCGATAATTACTAGTGTTTACGTTGCATGTTAAAAGCCGGTAACCAGCAGATAGAACTTGATTTTTAATCAGGAACATTCCGGAGAGAACGTATAACTAGCATCCATTCTAAATAAGAAACTTTATTACCGATATTGCCTATATTGATAAAAATTTCATTATTTACATTATGAAATGTATTTCGGACTGTCACAAAAAGGTGCATACTGTATGTGTCACAAAATCATAATAAACAAATAGACAAAAGATATCTCATTACATTACCATTACAATTACAATACGTTAATGTCAAACAAATACGCCTAGATGGACAGCAGTTGTTTCCCTTTGTATGGGAGATCACTATACTTCATCAGTCTGCACTTCAGGAAGAAATTTTACCAGTTTTTACGGTCAGTTTGATACTCATTTGAATTTTTCGAGCTTGTGAATTACGGAAAAATAAAAAGTATACTACTGACTTAAAATCTGCTTTATTCCTGTATCACGATAGTCAAAAAATACTGACGAGCCAAACTCTAAGCTTTTAGTTTTATCAGACTCCAGTCCGAGTGTGTCAAAAAATATTGAGTGCCAATGCTAGATTCCAAAATATTTTCTTCCTGGAGCAGAATCTTGCTTTTAGAGGCACACAAAATAGCACAATATCTTGTCGCGCAGTAGCTCAACAAATTGTGCGCTTTAGGGCTTTTTATTATTTGTATGGCTCCTCTACCACTAATGCAATTTCAGTGAAACTTCAGTGAAACAGGATTGATTGGTAGGTCAAGTACTTATAAATGCTTAATACACAAGTTTTTCGTTTAAATGATTTTTTGCAGAGTTATGGCCCTTAGATGAAATAGGTGTTTTTTCTTGTGTGTTGCCAGATACACAAAAGCTTTTCCGGACTACTTCCCAGTGGCGGATCCAGGCCCGGGCTTCAGGGCTGCAGCCCCCAGCTCGGCCCAAAGATACGTTTACCAGCTGGGCTGGAATATATTTTGTCAGTTTGAAACTTTATTGGCTGTAATGTACTCCCTTATCAAAACATTTATTGCTGTCCAGTTGTTAATCTCCTGCCTGGGGGCTTGGCAGAGATCTTTATCTATCAACATGCTTGAATGACTTCAATGTTTAAACTGCATAATTGATTGGTTTATTGCTTTCCAAAGGTATAATGAAATTAATAGTCTCAGATAGTGGCAAAAAGATGTGTTACATTGTACACCATATTTTACTATCTTTGTTTGCCAAAGCCCTATAATTTATCATTTGTAAATTAAAATAATGGCGAGGTTTATGAAGACAATATTATAGGAATTGCATTTTGATAACTAGTTTTACTAATATTTTTTATCAAGATGAAATGATTGTAGTCCAACTAATTGTACTGCGCGACGAGATATTGTGCTATTTTCGTGTCTGGGCAATATCTCGCCTCTAAAGCGAGATTCTGCCCCAGAACCAAAATATCTCAGAATCAAGCTTTGGCACGTCAATATATTTTGACTAAAATGATTGGTGATTTGCTTTATAAATATAACTTTTTATGACAGTTATATTTTTCTAAGTAATGTTTAAATTGTACTAGCCTCTGGATTCATTGATGGAAAAAAATTCATATTGAATTTTAGTGTTTGAAATTATGTTTTTGTACAATAGAAAGGCATTATTTTAATAACACTTTATTTAGGAAAATCGTCTAATATTCAGATGAGTAAATTAATCAAGTGTTTGAAATTACTTTTATCAATGGTCGAGCATACATTGGTAAGTGTGCTGTTATTTTGTAAATGCTTACTGCTAAATTTTTCTTAATTCCATATCATCTAATTATTTTTAAAAAACATTAGTATACACATATATAAAAGCAAAAGTACATTGCCACTCATAAGTTGAGCTGTAAAACACATAAATTACAATTTTTGTCACATGAATAAGATGCTGGCCCAATCTTAAAACATGCACAATTTTCGACTGTTGTGTTATTTTTATCAAAATCTTCCACCCATATGTCAGCCCCCCCAGGAAACCATGTTCTGTATCCGCCCCTGCAAGTTTCTTAAAATTACTGTGCAATTTCAACCAAACTTCACTTGTCAGCATTTTCCGGTTCAATGATTTTTGTGAGAGTTATTGCCCTTTAATAATTTTTATTTTTAAAGTTTGTCCGGACTACTTCTCTTATACCACTAATGCAATTTCAATGAAACTTTACAGGATTGATCTGTAGCTCAAGTCCTTGCCCATATTGCACGGGTTTTCCGATTGAATGATTTTTTGCCGAGTTATGGCCCTTTGATAAAAAGTTGCTTTTTTCTGTGTGTTGCCAGATACACAAAAGCTTGTCCGGACTACTCCTCATAAACTACTGGTGCAATTTCATCTAAACTTTACAAGAATTATCAGTACCAAGTATAGTTGTGCATATTGTCAGCATTTTCTGGTTCAATGGTTTTTGTCAGAGTTATGGCCCTTTAATAATTTTTATTTTTAAAGTTTGTCCGGACTACTTCTCTTATACCACTAATGCAATTTCAATGAAACTTTACAGGATTGATTTGTAGCTCAAGTCCTTGCCCATATTGCAAGGGTTTTCCAGTTGAATGATCTTTGGCTGAGTTATGGCCCTTTGATAAAAAGGTGTTTTTTCTGTGTGTTGCCAGATATACAAAAGCTTGTCTGGACAACTCCTCATAAACTACTCGTGCAATTTCATCCAAACTTTACAGGAATGATCAGTACCAAGTCTTGTTGTCAGCATTTTCCGGTTCAATGATTTTTGTTAGAGTTATTGCCCTTTAATGATTTTTATTTTTAAAGTTTGTCCGGACTACTTCTATTATACCACTAATGCAATTTCAATGAAACTTTACAGGATTGATCTGTAGCTCAAGTACTTGCACATATTGCATGTTTTTTCTGGTTGAATGATTTTTGGCCTAGTTATGGCCCTTTAATCAAAAAGTGTTTTTTTTCTGTGTGTTTGCCAAGATACACGAAAGCTTGTCGGGACTACTCCTAATAAACCCTGGTGAATTTTATTCCACAAATTTTACAGGAATGATCAGTACCAAGTGTAGTTGTACACTGTCCGTCTATCTGTGCGTCTGTCACAAAACTTGTCCCAACAATGAAATTGGCCATCATGAGGCGGCACATGTGATCACTGATTTTATTGTTCAATGAATTTCTTTGGAGTTCATGCCCATTTTGATTATTTTTTATTTTTTAAAGTTGTCCGGACTACTTTTGTACCACCAATGCAATGTCAATGAAACTTTACAGGATTGATTTGTAGGTCAATGTGCATAATACACAAGTAATGATTTTCAGCCTGAGTTATTGCCCTTAATAAAAAAGGGTTTTTGCCCTGTTTATGATTTTGGGTCTCCTGCTACACAGTATCTGCGGCATGGGATTGGCTATCATGATGCGACACATGTCATCACTGATGGCCCTTGTTATAATAGAAAAATTCAATGATGAAGTCCCATAACTTTCATGTCTTAAATTTTGTCAAAGAACAATAATATATTTTTTTAAGATGTACATGTAAGATCTACTAAATGATTTTACGGATATATTGCCGCTTATTTGTATTATGACAAGATATCAGATAGAGCTATCAGAAATAGCATAACACCATCATCATTCATGGAAATCAAACTCAAATTGTCATAATATTGCTATTTACATCATGTATGTACTGATTTGATTTATTGTTTCTTAAGATGTGACCTTGACCTTAAATTGACCTTGTAAACATCAAATTAATGAAATTCTCTTGTTTCTGTGCATGTGTTTATTTATTTTTGTGTCGCCTCTACGGAGTAGTGGCGACATATAGGGATCACTTCTCCGTCGTCCGTCTGTCCGTCTGTCTGTCTGTCCGTCTGTCCGTCCGTCCGTCACAAAACTTGTCCGGACTACCCCTCATAAACTACTGGTGCAATTTCATCCAAACTTTACAGGAATGATCAGTATCAAGTCTAGTTGTGCATATTGTCAGCATTTTCCGGTTCAATGATTTTTGTCAGAGTTATGGCCCTTTAGAAATTTTTAATTTTAAAGTTTGTCCGGACTACTTCTCTTATACCACTGAAGCAATTTCAATGAAACTTTACAGATTGATCTGTAGCTCAAGTCCTTGCGCATATTGCAAGGGTTTTCCGGTTGAATGATTTTTGGCCGAGTTATGGCCCTTTGATAAAAAGGTGTTTTTTTCTGTGTGTTGCCAGATACACAAAGCTTGTCCGGACTACTCCTCAATAAACTACTGGTGCAATTGAATCCAAACTTTAACAGGAATGATCAGTATCAAGTCTAGTTGTGCATTTTGTCAGCATTTTCCGGTTCAATGATTTTTGTCAGAGTTATGGCCCTTTAATAGTTTTTATTTTTTAAAGTTTGTCCGGACTAGTTTCTCTATACCACTTATGCAATTTCAATGAAACTTTACAGGATTGATCTGTAGCTCAAGTCCTTGCGCATATTGCAAGGGTTTTCCGGTTGAATGATTTTTGGCTGAGTTATGGCCCTTTGATAAAAAGGTGTTTTTTGCTGTGTGTTGCCAGATACACAATAGCTTGTCCGGACTACTCCTCAGAAGCTACTGGTGCAATTTTATCCAAACTTTACATGATTGATCAGTACCAAGTCTAGTTGTGCACTGTCCGTCTGTCTGTCCGTCTGTTACAAAATTTGTCCTAACATGAAGTTGGCCATTATGAGGCGACACATGTGATTACTGATCGCTCTTGTTATTTATTTATTTTGTGCCTGGCTCTAACTTTGTTATTTATAAATGAATTAACTTCATATTTAGACACAATATCTTTAAGGTCAGGATCTTCATCTTATATCAGACTCAAATTGACCTTGACTCATATATGACATTGACGGTCAAATTATTTAATTTTTACTGATCGGCTGTAACTTGGTAATGAATCAATGGATTATTTTCATACTTACTACTTAGACAAAACAACCTTTTTGACATGACCTTCTAAATTGTGGAACTGACCTTGACCTTGAGATTTAAATGACCTTGATTTTAAGGTTAAAGTTTTGAATTTTAGTTAAGTTGTCATTATTGTGTTATTTATGTACAGATTTGATACATATGGGACAAAACAACACTTGTGACCTAACAGACATGTGGAATAATTTAGATATGACCTTGACCTTTAAAGGACCTTGTCAGTCGAATCATTAAATTTTGATTATATTTTCTTTACTTAACTAGACAGACCCATTAAAGCTAAAAAGAAGGAAAAACTTTTTTTTCTTCTTTAATTCTCTTTATAAAGATTTGTTTAATCTGTTTATTTGTTTGCTTTTCGAAAAAATAAAAAAGTGAAGCGTTGCCCCCGCCCAGCAGTGGCTTGTGTTTTTCTTTTGTTACATTAATGCACATTATTAGTTTTTAAATGGAAATATAACTGTTATTTCAATTTATTATGTTACAGAATAAATTTCATATTCATCACAATTGCATGTAACTCTGATGGTAGTTGACACATTTAAATAATAACAACCATTGATAGGTTCTGATGTTGATGAAATCTTATTTCAGGTATTAAAGATGACCAATGACCAAATATGGAAAGTGTTTGTACCATGTGATGTTCTGAGTCAGCCAGAATCATACCTTATTGGTCATGTAAAAAAAGAAACTCAATCAGTTTATATCACAGCCTCATCCTGTGATGCCTCAGCAGCCAATCAGGCTGCCAGAACATCAGCTGATTGGTTTTTTGGTATGGAGAAGGAGAGGAATGTTTCCAAAAATAGAACTGACACAATGCTAGAGCAATGGATAAACATTTGGGAAGGATAAAAGTGCAAATGTCCAATGTGAAGCCATCAGCAACAGAACTGCCTGCCAGTGTAACTGTCTTTATATATAGACCTTCAGATTTACTAGAGTCCGTAAATTTGAAGCAAAAAGCCGTTGAAAGTTCTGAACAAAATGACAGTATAACTTCTTTAGTAAGAATACTTCACAGTACAAATTCTTGTCTTGGTGGGTATGAGATTTCAGACAATGTTACAGTGTATACCTTCATGTCCAGGACAACTTGCTTCAATCAGTGGATGTTCACGTTCCTTACATCCTTTGTTTACCTTATATACCTGCCATTCATAATATGTCTTCTACCTATGCAAAGGTAAATATTGAATTTTATACATGTATGCTACTCTTTCATAAATGTGTTGGAGTGTGAACATATGAACATTTTAAAACAGAATGAATCAGTTCATATATATTGTTCATATTTGTTTCTACATGTTTTCATCTTAGATTTGCTAAATTTGGCTTTACAAAATTTCTGCTTTTTTCATATTTCTTCATAAAGCCATAGGATTTATACAGGGATGCTATGTTTGAATATCTGTGTGAATTAAAATCTTTGGCAAGACTTAATCAAACAGTTTTGCCATTAAAAATCAAACTATCATTATATATGTATATAATAACATACATGTGACATATGCTTTGAGTGTAGGATAAAGTGTTTAGACTTGTCTGTCTTCATTATAATCCAAGTCATATTAATTCTTTTGTTGTTATCACTATTGTTTATTAGTTCACATGGGCAAAAGTGCTCAGATTTCCTGCTATATTATTATAAATGGTTCAAATTGATAAGAGCTGAAAACTTAACAGTGAAAGTCTTTGAACTTGACCCTTTGACTTATTTCTTTATTGTTGAAATGTTATTGTTATGACAATGTCTACTAATGGTTTCTAGGTGAGCAATCTATCTTTTTCTTGCATATAAGACAGGATTATCTACCCTTTACACCAGTGCTAGAAAACCCTGTCTTACACTCCCCATGTAAGACAAGTCGCGTGCTTTAAATGACGTCATTGCTGCGCGCCTTTTATGAATGAATTGCGTTCTTAGGATGACGTCACTTAACCATCATGAATGAAGTTGTACATTCATACGCTACTATAAGAAAAAAGTGCGTAATGAGAATATCAGTTTTCGTAACTTCTGTTCTGAAAATAATTGATATGCAAGAAAAAGAATCAAACACCGGTTGTTGGTACAGACAGGAATATCAAGCTCTCGGGTAACTGTTAAGCGGAAAATCGGCAGAGCCTCGTTTCCGCCGTAAACCGTCACCCTCGAGCTAGATATTCCGGTCTGTACCGGCAGCCGGTGTAAGATTCTTATAAGATCCATGATGTCCATCTTGTTACAGATCGGTATGATGATAATGACAAGGAATCATGAGGTGGCGCGATAGCTCAGTTGGTAGGTGGCGCGATAGCTCAGTTGGTTAGACCACTGACTGTCACTCCTGAGGTTCCGGGTTCGATCCTGGGTAACACCCTTGGGATTTTTCAGAAACACTTTCAGTGTTTCCCACCTAACTAGAGGTTTACTGGTACGAAACCAAGGTAATCCTCGCATGTATCAGTGCTATACACTGGGCATGTAAAAGAACCAAGGAATCTATTCAATAAGAGCTAGGGACTGGTTCCCGGATTTCCTTGTATCTCATAGCTGTCTCTTGTGTCTGCTGAGGTAAGGACCCTACTGGAAATAAGTGCTTGCACTTTCGTAGGTTATCCTTGACCGCCCGGTCTAAAGAAAATCAATCAATCAATTATAAGGCTGACTTGACTAATAATATGATGATAATTTAAGGTGTAGATTAAGCAGGCATCTCCAGAAAGTGATGGGTATTTCATCTACAATATCACAACTGTCAGGACGGTCAGCAGTGTTGGACAATATCAGGTCTTGTAATAAATCAGAGCCAGGATTTAAATTGAGGTAAGACAACATGCATGTTGTGGAAGGAATTGTAACTTGTTGTTTATGAATTACTAAATTAAGGATAAACTTTATGACAATTGTTGACATAATCCAAACATGACCATTTCTTCATTTTTATTTTTAGCTCACCTCACAAAGTGACAGGGTGAGCTTTTGTGATCGCTTTTCGTCCGGCGTCCGGCCATCGTCCCCCCCTCCGTCGTCTGTAAACTTTTACTTTAAATGACATCTCCTCATAAACCACTAAGCCAATTTCATCCAAACTTCACAGGAATGTTCCTTTGGTGGTCACCTTTAAAAATTGTTTAAAGAATTTAATTCCATGCAAAACTCTGGTTGCCATGGCAACCGAAAGAAAAAACTTTAAATATCTTCTTTTAAAAAACCAAGTTTGTTCAAATAAAATCCCTGGGGTGAAAATTGGCCCCGCCCCGGGGGTCATTGATTTTCCCTATATGCATATAGTAAAAACTTAAAAAATCTTCTTTTAAAGAACTCAAAGAGCTATGGCTAAGATATTTAGCATCAAACATGTTCTAATAGGTGTCTACCAAGTTTTTGTTCAAATAAAAGCCCTGGGGTCAAAATTGGACCGCCCTGGGGTCATTGATTTTTCTTATTATGTGTATAGCAAAAACTTAAAAAAATCTTCTTTTTGAAAAACCCAAAAAGCTAGAGTTAAAATATTTTAGCATGAAACATTTTTAAAACTGGCCCGGCCCCAGGGGTGTCATTGCTTTTAACTATATGTGTATAGTAAACTTAAAAAAAGTCTTCTTTTTTAAAAAGCCCAATGAGCTAGAGCTTGATGTTTAGCATGAACATTTCTTTTGGTGTCTACCAAGTTTGTGGCAAATAAAAGCCTTGGGGTTTAA